CTTAACATCGAAACTACATTATTATATTTGACTCAAGAAAAGGTAAAAACTCTAGAATTATACTTATAATCTAACTCAGTCCTAATCTACCAATCTTGAGTTGGCTTGATTTTTAATTGACATTGTGGATCTGAAATGTAAGTAGGATGGGTAATAGTAGAGAAATAGAAATATCAAAAATATTTGCAATCATCAAAATTATAATCATTGAAGTTAGGTTTGTAGTAATCTCTCCCTTTTTTATGATGGCAAATATTTATTAGGAAATTTAACTCAAGCAGACTGATGAAACATAAAGTAAAGGAGAACAGTCTAAACCAAGCAATGTAAATTTTACTAAAACAAGCATATGGTATAAAAATAATAATATAACAAAATAATACTAATAATAGTAGTGTAAAAAACAATAATATAATGAAATAACACTAAAACTACTCCCCCTATTAACATCACAAAAGGAGGAAGAAATAGAATCGAAATACATAATAAAAAATATAACCCAAAAACTAGCAGTAGTATAAGAGAAAACATCACAAAAAAGCATCAAAATAGACTACAAGATCAATCACTACGAGAAAATGGGTCAATAGCGACCAAAAAAATAGAGACAAAAATAAATTGGTCACTAAAGATATCTTTTAGCAACCAAAAATTAGTAAGGCCTCTAAATAATAAGGAAGTTTGATATTAGCCACAAAAACAAAAATGGCCGCTAATTTTGTTGCTAAAAATTTAGAGAATCTTTTTCTGAAATATATACATGTCATTGTAGTGAATAATTACTCTTTTTAATTGTGTGCATAATCGTACAATTCACAAATATGTCAGGGATCCAAGGGTGTAGCACCTCCTAACGGGGTTCAACCTGCCTGGTCAGGTCACGGGGTCAAGGGGCAGCGCCCCTTGGGGGTTTTTAGGGGCATCGCCACAGGAAAATTTTTTTATTGTAATAATATTTTTGAAATTCAAATTAATAAATAAAATGTTGAATTAAATTTAATATTTATATTTTTATGTTGATAAATCTAATAAATTATTGATGAAATAAATTACAATATATAATATCTAAATTTCATCAATTAATTACTTAAATAAAATTATACATTATAGAAAAACCTAGTCTCCCGTCATTCTCAAGCACGTGACCTCTCTCATTTTCGCTATTACCCTTTGCCCTACCTCTTTAGCGACCTCAAACTACAATCGCTAACTGCATATGCCAACTGCAAATCGATGGACTCTCAGCCACGACCTCTCTCATTCGCGTGTTCATATGAGTTTCTTCACTCACAATTCTTCGGACAATCCCGCAAACTTGTCTTCACCGATTTCTCCTTCTCAGGTTATTCCTAATACTGTTCTTCCTACTTTAATTTCAAAATTTCTATGATCTTCTTTATACTATGCTTGCCTCTCATTTTTATTGTATCATTCAACATTATTGATTGTTATTGTTGCTTTAAGAGGTTAGGGTTGATTTTCAATGGTTGAGTTGAAAAGATCCAATGGTTATTTCGATCTGGATTTTCACTCTCCACTCATTATTTTTCATTCAGTCTTTTTTTTACTGAATAATCTAACTTCGCTGAGGTGATGGCGGTTGGGTTCTGCCGCTGGAAAACTCTATCTTTATTTTCTACAGTTTGTGAAGTGATTGATCATATCTTAGGATGTTAGAAGCCCCTATTAATATTGGTAGTATTATTTCAAAGATGATAGTATTTGCGTTCCTTCTGGATTGATTGCTTCTTGGTTACGTTTGTTCAGGTTCTGATTTTACAAGGTTGTTTGGTTGGAAGTAGGATAAAATGATCCAGATTTATGCAATCTTGATTTTCTCTAATCTATATAACTATTTGGCTTTAATAGAATTTAGGAGATTTCTTTCTTTGTTTTTTTCATTGTCCTTATTTTCCTCTTCTACGTGAGTGTTTTTTTATGTAATACATAGTTCCTGATGCAGGACTATAATGCTTTTAAATGCAGCGATAAGAACTTGTATGATTTCTTGATAAAATAATTATAATTAAAACTAATAGCAATGAAAACGATAAAAAAAATGTAAGAAGGGTAGCTATGCTTAGGACAAGTCACATGCCATGCACTCAAGTAGCGTTGGATGTAAGGCTTAGAACAAGTCGCATGCGAAGGGAAAGATAAGGATGAGCTTCTTGTTGATGGAGATAATGATTTGTTGGATGCTAAAGTGGCTGGGCATTCATATAAATATCTAGGGCTTACATTAGAAGAATACTGGACCAACTCAAAATTGAATATGGATACTCTTCATGCTGCTCTCCCGAAGCTGAATTCCGTGCAGGCTAAGAGTCTAGATGAAAGTTTTCGTGAGGTTTTTATCGGGATGCTAAAGCTCAAGATGGAAAAGAACAAAATTTTTAATGAAATAATTCATTCTTCTCTAGCTACTGACTTCCACGAAGTAAATGTAGTTTAATTATAAGCTATTATAGAATATTGAGTTTTATAGGATTGCTTGGTATTCTTGAAGTAAGATCATGTTTTATATCCTCCTTTGTTTTGTTTTACATACAAGTCTGTGTTCTTGATAAGCTTGTGAATCTTGTATCACTTAATTTATTTTGCTTGTTGTTGTTATCTGTGTAAATTGTAATTTATATATTTTTACTAAAACTTCTCCTTTTTCATTGTTCATTAGTATCTTTTTCAGCTGCATTCAAGAGTTGAGGGTCTCATTCTATTATTGATCTTTTGTGATATCCTATATGAATTATGCCTAGAAATCACATTTAGGCAGATAATTTATGCATTCATTGCAAATGCATTTTGTTTAAAATATGATTTTATTTCTGTTTGTAATTCTCTTCTTTCTTGATAAATTTCATGTTTCTTGCATGGAGGTTGAATGAATTAGCCTGATGCCACATACCTATTAAGCTTTCAATGTTCAATGGCCATAAAAAATGTTGAGGAAGCAGTCTTGCTAAGTGTTTATTTATTTTTTTGTATTAAATAACCTTTATTTGATCTATTATTTATATCAGTTACTGATCTTGATTTTTTGGTACTTTGGTCGAGCTTATTCAACTAAAAACCATATGTTCAATGATATCTCGGTCCATCAGTGTCCGGGAAATTGTATCCTGGAAATGAAATCTTCTATTAAAATTTTAATGTTGTTGTGGATGCATTTATTTGTGATGGAAACCATTTTATGATGCATGCTTTCTTTTTTTGGGGAAAACCGCCTCTATCTATGGGTGGTGAACTTAATATGATGGACATGGGACTATCTTTACTAGTCTCCTGAATCCATAATCTGAGCATTGAATTGTAAGGTTTAAATTTTCAATCCTTAATGGAGTGCAAGAGATATACTGATAATAAAAATGATGAAAAACCATTTGCTTTCTGAATATATGGATGCTTGAGTTTTCAAATTTTTTTGTGGACAATGATCTTGAAATCTAAGCATATTCATACATAATCCTAGCTCTAATATTAAATTCTTGATATCATCAAATTTATTATTTTTTAGATGATCGAGTATGCTAATAAAAAGAAAATATGTTTGCATATGTGCATATTTATATATCTAGGTTTGAAGTAGCTTATTTCGCATGCACATGAGCATGTTGCCTATCAGTTATGTTCGGGTTGATCCCATCCCTAGATCTAACAATAGTTTAGTTTGTTGTATGCACGTTTCACATTAAAATTATTTTGATATATGTATGCAATTTATTTAACTCTATGTTTTTATATTTTAATATATATATATATATATATATCTGTGAGTGTGTGTGTGTGTGTGTGTGTGTGTGTGTATGTTATATGTATGTATATAAAATAGATGATGATGCATGCATGTAACTGTTGAAAATTAATTTATTAAATTAACAACAATTTTCATGAATAATTAGTTGTTTATGAATATTAATTAATTAGGAGAAATAACTTTAAAAAATTAATGAATTTTGTATATTTTAAAGAATAATTTATGGAAACGTAATATACAAGTTTCTTGCTAGTTAATAGTAATGAATGTATTAGTGGGTTAATTAATTACAATATATGGATATTAGAAAAATCAGTGACTATGAATGTATAATAAATTGTTATATGGACAAAAAATATTAATAGATAAATTTCTTAATGGAGTTGAATTTTTGTTTCAGTAATTTATTAGTACTTAATTGTTTAGTTTTTATAAAAAGTTTAGATTTCCTTGTTCTTTACTAACTTTTTTTTTATATATAGCATTGGATGAAGTGAATGTTGATTTTATTAGAGGTGTTTTGAGCTTGTTTATTGATGGTGGGCCTCACATGGTGAGTGCGAGCTATTTGTTGATGCTCATTAAAAAGATATGAATAAATGATATTTGACGATGTTGGCCCATAATATAAAGAACTTGTTGAAGAGCCTTTTAATTGTGATGCTTAACGATTTTATGATTTATTACAATTGTTATGGCATTGTTGCACTAATCACTTATCTATTACAATAAGAATGCTCAATATCAAAGTTGATTTTAATATGCTACATGAATTTTTCAATCAATTTATAAGATTGTTCAAAACAACTAATCCTATAAATGATTGTGTCTCTTATTCTAGAATTAAAAGGATTGTTTGTATTTATCAGTTATGTTGGATATATGAGATTGCATCATGAGAGAATGTGTGAGCCAAATGTATGTCATCCATTAGATGCTAAAGTATTAGAGTTGACTTATGTTAAGAAGGGTTGAGGTAGACTTAAGAAGACTTGGTTAGAAATATTAGAAATGACATTTCTTTATTAGATTTGATTGAATTTAACTTTTAACAGAGCATAATGGAGAAGAATGATTCGTGTAGCCGACCCCACATGGTGGGATAAAAGCTTGTTGTTGTTGTTGTTGTATATTAAGAGTTTGATTTAGAACTACAAAATGTCAGAGTTAGTTTAGTTCTTGATGATTTCATGCCATATATTCCCCTATTGAAGGTAAGGGTAAGAGCGTGCTGGTTGAGAATATGGTTGGGAAGGATTTTATTGGTGGAATTATGAATCCAGGAGTTGCAATACATGAATCATCGGCATCGGACGACTTGATTCTCCGTGTGAACAATTTTTCTGGGGTTCTTGATACACTTAAGGGGCGTAAGATTGGTGATGATCTATCGTCAGCGGAAGTTTTAAAGGAGGATATTTCGGTTGAGGAAGGACCAGTAGAGATGGAATTGCAAAAGAATAAGAGTAATGAGGTAGTTGAAGCCTAGTCGAAGCCAAAGCCAATCAAAATATCGTTTAATCAGAACAATGTCGAATTTTTAGAAGATGGAATTACTGTGAAGCTTAATGCTGATATGGAAGCAAGGAATTCACAGATTTTAAAGAATTCAGTGGTGATCAAAGTGCTGGGTAACAATGTGCCTTTCTCGGTTTGTAGCACCGAATTGAGAAAACAATGAAGCAGGTTTGGAGGTTTCCACTTAACTTCGATTGGTATGGACTGGATCTTGTGTTGATTTCAGTCGAGTGAAGTGGTTGATGAAGTCTTGAATGGAGGACCCTGGTACGTAAACGGATTTATTGTTGGAATGGATAGGTGGTCGGCTGCATTTGATCCAAACACGTTTAAAGGAATCTCGGCACCAGTATGGGTTAGATTTCCATGTCTATTGTTGTATTGTTGGGATGAGGACAATATCGCAAGGATTGCATCTTGCTTGGGAACGCCAATGTATATCGATGGCAATACATTCCGTTGGAGCAAACAGGAATTTGTTCGAGTTTGTGTAAGGATTGATCTGGAGAAAAAGCTACTGAATGGTGTGTGGGTGGATGGCTCTGGTGGAAGGTTCTTTCAACGGGTTGAATACGAGAAAATTGATATACTCTGTTATCAGTGTGGTAGAGTCGGCCAAAACAGAGAGATATGCCCAGAAAATTTATCCATTGAAATACAAAATCAGTCTTTGAAGGAGAAGGAGGTTGGTAACGAAATTGGTGAGAAGAATGTGCAGGAAATTAAATCTTCAGTGATTAGTTCTGAATATGGACCCTGGATCCACGTTCACTTCAATGACAGGAGATACAACAGGGGAAATGTTGTTAGGAAGGGGCTGAATGATGCTAGACTCGACAACTCTTTCAGGGAAGATAACAGTCGGAAGAATAATGCAAAGGTTGATAGAGAAATTATGGTAAATAAGAAGGATATTGTGGAAGTTAATGATGTCCTGGCTCCAGATAGTAGGGATGTACATAGAAAGTCTTTTGGAAAGGAGAACTCGAAAACTGCTATTACCAACAGGTTCGTTGTACTCAGTGAGGATCCTGAAGAAGTATGTCTGGTGGAGTAGGTTAATGATATTAAAATACAGAAAAAGACAGGGAATGTATTGATGCTGAAATCAATCACAGTGAATTGGGTATTTCTAGTGCTGCTGTCAAGGTGAAGTTGGCTAAAGAGTTAAAATCACTTGGACCTGTGAATGTGGAACATAAGAAGAAAAAGAGGTATGATAGGTTGAACCCCAAGAGTGGGGAGAGATTAATTACACCTTTTTAATGTCCTCAATTCTTTTTTGGAATTGTAGGGGGGCAAGGAAAAAAGAAGACTCCTTATATTTGAAGGAAATCGTTAGAGATCATAGTATCTATTTTATTGGGCTTATGGAGACGAAGTTGGCTAGCATTGACAGAAAATACATTGATTACTTGATTGGGAAAGATTGGGAGTACTATCATCACCCTGCTGAGGGTACTTCAGGAGGCATTATGGTTCTATGGAATAGGAATATGGTGTCTTTTGATATAAGGGAGACATCTTCACAGGTAATTGTTGGTAGTCTCTCGGTTCCTAACTTGGGAATTTGGAGAATTGCCACGGTGTATGGGAGCAGAAATTGCAAGGAAAGGGAAAGTTTATGGAAACAACTCCAGGATTGTATGGACGTTACAATTCCCTCTATTATTGGAGGGGATTTTAATTGCATTGTTAACAAGGAGGAGAAGAGAGGAGGCAAAAGGTTCTTGTTCTCTAAAGGACCTAGGGAGATGAAACGTTTTATGGTGAATTCCGATTTCCATGACATTGGTAGTATGGGACCAAGGTTCACTTGGTGTAATAACAAAGAGGGAACCTCTCGGATTTGGGAAAGGTTGGATAGATGAATTTTGTACTCAGTTTCTATTCAAATGCATCCTATGGCTACTATCAAGCATCTTGCTAGAGTAGCATCGGATCACAGTCCAATTGTGCTAAGTATGAAGGATAAAATTTGTGGCGAGAATAAAGTGTTTAAGTTTGAGGACACTTGGAGATCCTACCCAGCTGCAAAGAGTATTGTCTATAACTCTTGGATGAAGAATGATTATGGTGATGAATATAGTATACTCCAAAGGAAGCTCAAACGTACGATGAAGGCATTGTTTTTTTGGAATAGGAATAAATGCAAGAACTTGAATGTATTGAAGGAAACCTTGAAGAAAGAAATTCTTGATCTTCAAAATAGAGAAGCTTGTGAAGTTAACTGGAATGCTGATGATCTTGTTTTGCTAAGGAACAAAGTGCATGAATTAAATGTAACTTTGAGGTGGTTGTCTACTTGGTGGAATCAAAGGGCTAAAGTGAAATGGCATGAGGATGGTGATATCAATTCGAGTATTTTTTTCAGAATTTTGCATAAGCTAGATGTAATGGCAATCGAATTAACCAAGTTAAAGATGAGTTCAATACGATACAAGTGGAGGAGAATCAAATAAGAGAAGGTGTTTACAGATTTTTTTGAGAAAAAATGGCAGCAATGGAATTGTATTTTGACGAGATGGCCATCTGTTGAAGAAATTCAAAAAGTTAATAATGAGGATTTGGCCATGCTTAATGAGGAATTATCAGTCCAGGAATTGCAGATCTCGGTTTTCCAGCAAGGTTATAACAAAGCACCAGGTATTGATGGAGTTACTTCATCGTTTTATAAAAGCTATTGGAGTATAGTTTGGGAGGTTTTGTGGAATGCAGTTAATTGTTTTTTCAAAACTGGTATCTTAAATAGAGAATGGAAGAATACTTTAATTACTTTGATCTCTAAAGTAAAATATCCTTTGCTTCCATCAAATTATAGGCCTATTAGCCTATGTCAGACCAACTATAAAATTGTGGCTAGCATGTTAGTTAACAGATTAAAGAAGGTGATTGACAAGATGGTGTATGAAGAACAAGCAGCCTTTATTCCCGGTAGATCCATTTCTGTGCATTGTCTTTTGGCTCAGGAAATTTTCCATAAGTTCAAGTTATCCAATAATCGAAATGGATTGATGGCTCTTAAATTGGATATGGAACAGGCCTATGATAGTATGGGCTGGTCAACACTTCATCAGGTGCTTAAGTGGTATGGTATTCCTACTCTGTTTTCTAACCTCCTTATGGAATGTGTTGTAGATGTGAGGTTTTCTATCATTATCAATGGAAGAAACTCCAATTGGATTTGTGCTAAAAGTGGTTTCCGTCAAGGATGCCCTCTTTCTCCGTATCTATTCATTCTGTGCTCACAACTCTTATCCAATTCTTTGGAACAAAGGGGGAAAAATCTTGGTATTCATATATCACCTAGAGGTCCAAGAATCTCGCATCTTCTTTATGCAGATGATGTATTGATTTTATCGCATGTTTCTACTACTCTAGCCAAAGAATTGAAGAATATTGTGGAGGATTTTTGCAAATGGACAGGACAACGAGTCAACATCAACAAATCACAAGTTTTATTTGGCAAGATGGTGAGCTACTCTCTAAAGAAGAAGATTACCAGGATTATTGGTTTTAAGGAGGTCAAGGAGATGAAGTATTTAGGGGTCAAGATCTCACTTAGAAGAAACAAAGTGTCATATTTTCAAGAACTATTGAGTATGGTCATGGACAAACTCAATTCGTGGGGTAAGAAATCTTTATCAATGGGAGGTAAGATTACTCTCATTGAAACTTCCTTACTTTCTATGTCCAATTTCTTAATCACTCACTCTTTGGTTTCAAAAAGAGTTTTGTATGAGATAGAAAAACTTTGTAGAAATTTTTTGTGGCATAAGAGTGATGGGTCTAAATGTATGCACTATGTTGCTTGGAGTGAAATTTGCAAGCCGAGAAGTATGGGTGGATTGGGGTTGCAATCTCCTTTATTGAGAATTGGTGCTTTGAGATCTAGATTGGCTTGGAATTTCATTCAAAAAAAGGACTCTTTGTTACACCGAACTATGAAAGCAAAATATGGAGATGAAATTATGAAGGATGATCATAAGGCAATCACATCTACTGCTTGGAAGATTTTGCTGGATGGGAGCAAAAATTTGAAGAAGGCTATTAGGTGGAAGGTGGGAAAGGGAAATAAAATTAGTGTTTTAAATGATGCTTGGTTGCTGGACAAAAGCATCAATCGGTGGCCAACTTATGTGGACTATAATGTGTTGGAAGGAATGTTTGTTCAGCAGCTTTTAACTTCTGATGGTGATTGGAATTTTGAATTGCTTCGTAGGGCATTTCACTCAGAGCTAATTCTATTGATTGTTCAAGTCCTAACTAAGGTTATGGAGGAGGAAAATATAGAATTGCTGAAGTGGTGTTCAGGGAAAACAGTTTATGCACCTGTTTATGAACAAATGCTGAATGACAGATATAATTTTGTTGATGTAGAATACTTCAAATGGCTGCGGAAGCTCAAACTCAGTAAAAAGGTTGAAATTTTTTGGTGGAGGTTAGGCAAGGCTTCAATCCCAACTAACCTATTTCTTAAGAACCATAAAATCTCATTGCTGGATAGTTGTGAGAGAGGATGCCAAGAGGTGGAGTCTTATGAACATATTATGGTTCATTGTAAATATATGGTGGAGATCATCAAGAAGATACAAGAATGGGGTATTATGATCCCTGTTTTTAATTCTTTGGAGGAATGTCTTCATGAACTTAAAAGGCTTTCTACGTCCAATTCTGGAATTGCAAAAGTGTATTGCTCGGTCATTTACCTATCTTGGAAGAACAGAAATTATGTGAAGCATTGTAAGGAGGCATTGCCTGCGTCCTTGGGTGCTTCCAATGCATTGTTTTTAGCTGTTTTGATGTCTACTCCTTATCTTTCTAGCTGGGGTACTAACCTCCTTAGGGAGTCTTCAAACAATTGGTGCCCTCCACCGAAAGAATGGATTAAGATCAACCTAGATGCTTCTTTACTTACTTCAAATCTTGGAGGTATTGGTGGGATTTTTTGAGATCATAAAGGACGACTGATTTGTGCATTTGGCAAGAAGAAGATTCATTGGGATGTGGCACAACTTGAAATGGAAGCAATCTTTACGGTGAAGCACTTTCTTAAAAGCTGGATGATGGAATGCAAGGGGGTGATCATTGAGAGTGATAATGTCAACATTATCCATTTCATTCAAAATTCTTTGAAGAAGAATAATTGGCCTCTTAATTGTGGTGATACGGATGAGGTATTGTTCCTTAATGATTTTAATAAACTAGTTTTCCATTATGCCCATAGATCGTGTAAAAAAGTAGCTAATTGTTGTGCTACTTTGGCATTGAAAAATAGTTTTTCCTTTGATAGTTTTTCTTTTGATAGTATCCCTTCCATATTGACGTGTTTGATCAAGATGGAATGTGATACTTTGAATACTTGTACGTAGTTCTTTTCTTGGTTCTATTAATGCAATGTTGCACTTCTTCAAAAAAAAAAAAAGTAAATGCGTTATTTGCAAAGTGTAGAGTTAATAATATCTTTAGGACAAAGAAATACTTTGCTAGACCTTTTTCTTATAAAATTAAACTATAGTAGAACTTTGATTTTAAGATGATCAATGGGTTTGTAAATCAAAAAAATATTGTGTGCTAGTACTCCATTTGTGTGAGAAGGTCAAAAATATTTGATGGACATATGCCAATATAGATGGAATTTAAAATGGGATGTTAATTTTAAGATTTGGCTTATAATGTGGTATACGATTGAGAAAGAGTCCCTTGCGTTCATTAAATGAAATTGAATGATTTTCTCCAAAAATTTGCCACTCTTTTTCATTAGAGTAAAAAGAAGCATTATAATTATTGTGGTTCCAGCAAAGTGAAAAATTCAAATAAATTAATTGCAAGAGCGCGTTCAAATAAATCCTGACACCAAGTCGAAGTTCTTTGCAGTCGAGACAGATCATCATATTTTGCACAAACAACTCCGAGTTAACACTTATAGGCTTGAGAAACAGTAATTTTTATTTTATTTAAATAGTTAATCCTTCACGATCAAATATAATTATTAGAAGGCGTAATTGCTTCATTATTCACTTTTGTGTGGTTTGTTACTATGATGATAAGTTTTGCGATCAAATGCAGTTGCACTTTGTGGTGCATTGACATGATCCTTTATTTTTTGGGATGTTCCTTTAAGCAAGATCTTGATAATGGTTATTTATGCGGTACCATGGAGGCACTTAATGTTCCACTAGTAGACACTCCTATAAGTTATGTTGTAAATCTTGTAATATTTAAAACACATTGTCCCAGGTAACAATTTTAGGATTACAGACTATGGGATCTCTTCCTTGTAGCTTATGTACTATTTACAGGAATGGAAGCTAGCATATTGTGGCCCCAAAGTCATTGATTATGGAGGTGCTTGTATTACTGCTATGCCTGGCTTGAGCAAGTTGGACCTTTCATGGCAGATTAATCTTTCAGATTCTTCACTCATTCATATAGCTAAGAACTGTCAGATTCTTGTGGAGATTAGATTGATAGGTTGTGAGCAGATAACTGGTAATGGGTGTTTGAATATTTATTTCGGTTCAACTTTATTATTAAGAGGGTTTAAAATTTTTAAAACTACCAATTCACCCCCCTCTTGGTAGCCGTGGGACATTTACTTAGGCTTAACAACCTAATTACTAGACTCAACAATGGGATTTGTTCCTTCTCAGGGCTACTAGTCAATGGAGGACCTTGTATTTGATTCTTTTTACAATGTTTTTGTTGATGATATTATGCATGTAGTGTTGGGATGTTTGTCTTTGAGTCATTTGAGGTTCATAGAGCTTTGAAGTGCAGGATGCCAAGTTCAACACAAGAGCAGCTTAGCAAGTTGTGTAAGATAAGTTGGATATGAACAAATGAAATGCGAGCATTGGGCTCTTAATTTTTTCCGAGCTGAATTTAATGATTCATTTGTTCAGGTGAGCTCTTCTTTCTTGCCTTATTATCAGTAGGTATAATGTTTCCTTCCATTATTTACAAAAAAAAAACTATTTTACATTGATTTTACATTGGCGAGTGGGAAGCATCGTAGGAGTCCCTTCTGTCTATTAATTGTACCATAATAAATTAGGAGCATATTTTTAATATCAACTGTCTTGAGTAATATTGTGCACCTACTCCATGTAAAAAAAAATCAATTTTCTTGAATAATTATTTTTTTGCTAAGCATCTTTGGTCAAGCTTACATTTGTAAGCATATTGTTGTAGGCAAATCATGATTTTTCAAGTTTCTTTTTTGATAGTTGAGTAGCATTTGATCTGTTTCACTTATATTTCATCAACCATTTGATCTGTTTCACATTTTTTATAGTTGAGTAGCCCGCCATCCCATTCCATCTCTATTGTAAGTAAATTTCAGCTCACAAGAGATGTAAGGATTTTCTAACTTCTTGAAACCACTACTCTGCCTTATTTGGAAATGAAACCACCTAATCATTCTCCTCAACACAGCTTTTGGACGGAGGTGATTCTTCTCAATGGCTCCGTTAGCAACACTGATAATTCACTTATATTGAGATTGCTGAGTATGAGATGACAATTATTAGTTGTATGCACTTCTTGATGTCTTCCAAGAGAGTTCAGATTGGGGCAATTTTTAATTTTGAAGTATCTAAGCACCGTGAGTCTTGTTATTTATCAGCTAGAGGAAGAGTTTCTATAGGTGGTCTTGAAGAAAAATATTATTTTATTTTTTGTTTGAATACAAGTCAAATTTGTGTAAAAATATATTGGATTAACTATTTTCTCTTGAACAATGGGCCTACTTCTAATTTTTATTGTTTTTTTTTGTTTCTTTTAAATTTGTTCTTTTGTTGAATGGAAGAATGAAAGCTTTTTTTTTAGTAGTGTATATGCTTTTTATTATTGTTGCCTCAAGTTAATAAAATGTGTTATTTCTCTATTATAAAATTTATCTAACTAGTTGCAATATAAAGGAGTAATGGATTGATCTTAATAGTTATAGCCAAGGCATAATAATTGGATAATTATTTTTTTTACTAAATATCATAATTTTATATCTAAAAATATATATCAAAACTTCATGAAATTATAGGGGCAAGTGATTTATTAGGTTGATCATTTTGCGACAAATTTTTATTTTGGTTGTTAAAGAGAAAATATAATAAATAAAATTAATTATTAAAATTACTAAATAGCATCCTAATAAATATTCATTAGCGTCCAAAAAAATGGTCGCTAATATGTCCAATTTTAGCGATCAATACTAATTAGTGGTTGCTAATTTAGCAACCTAAAATTTTTTTTGGTTTCTAAAAGCCTTAGCAACGAGGCTACTGCGACAAATCAGTGACCCAAATATTTTTGGTCGCTATTTACTTTAGCGTCCAAATTAACATTTTTATCGACCAATTTTGTTGGTCATTAATTACCTATTTTCTTGAAGTGAAGTATGAGGGACCCTAATCAGGCGAAGGAGGAGGTGGTGGTGGCTAAAAAAGATTGTGGATGAAAGTAAACTACTCCCCAAACTAGGTCATATCCTGGTCATGCTATTGCAGTTGGTGTGCCACATATGAATCAAATCTAATAACATTTGCCTTATGGTGTTGTTCAAGTGTAGTAATGTAGTAGTCAAACTTAGCCTCCCACTGGTCAAACCTCTCCACTAGCTGATCCATCTATAATTACTAGCAGATCAAAAGAAATGTAGGAACAGGTGCAGTAGCAGCTTCCTCCTTATCTCCCTCAACCTCCTCATGCCCTAGATGGAGATCAGTGCTATGAAGAATATGAATAGAGCTTTTGGTGTAGTAGACATGCTGATAATTTGGTGGAGCAAGATATTGAAAATCATATTTGGTTTCTAAGACAAAAGTTATAATGTGTCCTAGATAAGGTTGGGTTTTATTTTGTTCCCTAGATCCCTAATATTGGTCAGGTACTCAATGTATTGAAATAAAATATCAGTGGCATTGAACTCCCTATGGGCCATTATATAAAAGGTGGTGATTTAGACTAGGGCAGTAATATGGACACAGTCACCAACCTTTGGGAGGTTCTAAGAACATGTTGGATTGTCCTAGCATCTTTGACTATGGTGCTCGACATCCCATCGTGGTATGAGACATTTGTGTTCCTTAGTAGTTGGTTGGTAGGACCCCAGTCATAATCAAGATCTGAAGGTAAGATATGAATCATATTTTCAGTAGTAGAAAGCTGGAGGAGTTCATGAAAATCTTTATAGGTGATCTCTACTGGGTGTTTATATATATAGGACTCAAGGGCAACATAAGTGGAGTTTATTCTAGGACTAGCAAAGATATCATAGAGGAGTTCAGAGGTTATTGGGAAATCTATTGTTAGAATGAAAGTGAGAGAGGTATGAGTGAACAGATTTTGTACCAAGTAAATAAGTGTTCGAGTATTGATGATCCTCGAAGGTGTGATCCCACCAGTTTTGCATCAAAAATAGGTAGCTTGCACAGCTACCTCAGAGAAATGAGGGCCAATAAATGCCCTTGATGAACTATCGGTCATCATCCTAGATCTTTTCCCACCAACCATTGACAAGGATTAAGAGTATGTGTGAGAAGGAATAAAATTAGAGCATATGAGGGTGAGAAACAATGTTTGAATTTGACTATTTATTAGAATCAACCACATCATTTAGAATGATCACAAGATCATTCAGGATAATTAGGCAAACTAATGATGTTTGGGTTGATTGGTCAAAAAAGGTGATCATATCATCCAGGATGATCAGACATCATCCAAGATTATTAGACTCAGACGATCATCCCGAGGAGTCATGCTGGTTGACCATTGATAAAATTGATCAATCAAGATGATTAGGTGGATCATCCATGACGATCGATAATAATGGATAGTACTGGCAAAATTTAAAACATGTAACCATTTTTGCTACGTGGATCGTCTAGGATGAATGGTGTATCATCCAAGATAATCACAAATAATTGAGTAGGATTCGATTAGATCATCTAGG